CGAATCGGGGCGGGGCCGGGCGGAGCTGGGCTGCGGCCTCCTCCCCGAGCCTGGGCCCCGGCCTCCCCGATGTGGGCCCGAGCCTGGGCCGGACAAGGCAGGATGTGAAAGGAGCCGAAGCCTGAGCTCTGCCGCTCTGAGCTCTGAGGCCCTGGTCTGGTTGTGAAAATGGGTCGTCGTTGGGGTAGGGCCCCACCCATCCGTGTGTGTGTGTGTGTGCGCGCGCTTTGTGCGAGCGAGAAAATGGCTCTTGCAGTTCGTGTTTTTGTTATTATAAAGGTGACGTGCAGAGGCTAGTGATATGAAAGTCTGGTAAAGAGTACATTTCTTTTCGGACACTGTCATCTCTGATACTTCTTTTCTAGCCTTTTTGTGCTCGAGAATAGCACTTTACTACCACTTGAGCCACGGTGCCACTTCTAGCTTCTTCTGAGTAGTTTATTGGAGATAAGAGTTGGGGGGGGGGCTGGGAAGGTGGCTCAGGGGTCGAGTGCTTGCCTAGCATGCATGAGGCCCTGGGTTTGATTCTTCTGCACCACATAAGCAAAAAAGCCGGCAGTAGTGCTGTAGCTCAAGTGCTAGCCTTGAGCTGAAGAGCTGAGGGACAGCACCTAGGCCCAGAGTACAAGCCCCAAGACCAACAAAGAGTATCTGGGACTTTTGTTCCCCAGGTTGGCTTGGCTTTGAATAAGATCCTCTGCTCTCAGCCTCCTGAATAGCTAGGATCATAGGGGTGTGCCACCAGAGCCCTGTGTACATCAGAACCTTAAGTCCTGAAGGCCATATCTCATGACAGTGTAGACACTGGATCTTGGAAGAGGAATGAAAAAATTCTTGGTGATTATAATGGCTGAGGCTTCCAAACAGCCATGGCACAGGAACAGAGAACAAACACATGTAACTGCCACTCTTGCATTTTCCAGGGGCTGGAGAAATTAGAACTGTGTCGTGTTCTTTATGGTTCAGTAGAAAAGATTGAGAATGACATAGAGAGTGATGGTTTGAGTAGGGCGCTGGTGGCTGATGTCATGTCTAATCCTAGCTACTCAGAAGGCTGAGCTCTGAGGATCGTGGTTTGAAGCCAGCCCTGGGCAGGAAAATTGTGAGACTCCCATCCTAATTGATCACCAGAAAACCAGAGGTGGAACTGTGGTTCAAAAGTGGTAAGGCAGGGCTGGGAAGGCGGCTTAGTGGTAAAGCACTTGCCTTGTATGCATGAGGCCCTGGGTTCGATTCCAAAGCAGAAAAGAACATAAGCAGAAAAAAAAAGCTGGAAGTGGCTCTGTGGCTCAAGTGGTAGAGCGCTAGCATTGAGCTGAAGAGCTAAGGGACATTGCCCAGGCCCAGAGTTCAAGCCCATAACCGAACCCCCCCAAAAAAGTGGTAAGGCAGTAGCCTTAAGCAGAAGGACTCAGGGACAGTGAGTGTCCAGCCCTTGAGTTCAAGTCCCAGGACCGACAAAAGAAAAAAATGGTGTTTTGGAGTCTCTGCTCCATGTTTGCTAAAGCATTTCATACCTCTCTGAAAAGGGGCTTGAGGTGTCTCAGGTAAGAGCCTGCTATGATTTCACCTTTTAATTTTTTTGATGGTAGTATGGATTATCCCAGGGCCTCACTTGTGACTTAAGTGCTATAACCTAATCCTCCTTTTTTTTTTGTTTTGTTGGTTGTGGGGCTTGAGCTCTGGGTTTGGGCACTGTCCCTGCGCTCTTCAGCTCAAGGCGAGCGCTCTACTGCTTGAGCCACAGCACCACTTCCAGTTTTCGAGTGGTTTATTGGAGATAATAGTTTCAATGACTTTCCTGCCCAGGCTGGCTTTGAACCGTGATCCTCAGATCTCAGCCTCCTGAGTAGCTAGGATGACAGGCATGAGCTACCCGTGCCTGGCATGACCTGTTTGTAATATGTTCAACTATTTATTTTTGCTGGTACTGAGGCTTGAACTCTTAGCCTTTTTGCTCAAGGCTGGTGGTACTCTACCAATTGAACCATATCTTTACTTGGGGCTTTTTGTCAGTCAGTCAATTGGAGATAAGTTTTATAGGCTTTTCTACCTGGGCTGGCCTGGAACCTTGATCCTAAAATCTCAGTCTTTGGATTGTTTTAACTTCTTTCGATAAGTGATTATTAGAATATTTTTTTCTTTTGTCTTTTTGGCTGTACTGGTGCTTGACCTCAGGGCCTACTACTTGAGTCCTGCCACTAGAGTCCCAATTGTAAAGTCTTTTGTTGTTTTTTGAGAAAGCAAAGATGACTTGAAATGGTTCTCAGGGATTAAAGATGGCATTCTGTAAGAAGGAGTTCTGAAGAGTGATAATACTTTAGGTGGAGGAAGGAGCTTCAAATGGCTAGGCCTAGGGTGATGTGTGTTACAGGGCTGTCACTACTCTGCTGCTGTGGTGCCATCCCCTCCCAATCATCACATAAAATGTAATCGTTATGTTTCAGCTCAAGTGGTAGAACACCATTTATTTAATTGCCACTTCTGTACCCTATAAATGTGTATGAATATTATGAAAACACAAACAAATGTCTTGCTTCATGATTTCCTGATATCTGACATAGGTGTTTTGGGTGGTATGGCTGTAGGCATTTCCTGCTATCTGTTGAGTTACTTGCACTATGTTTTGGGGAAACGCTTCCAAATCAAAGCGTTTTGGTCGATTGTGTTTATTTCTCTAACTGGACTGTGAACTCACTGAACCATTCCTTTATTAAATTAGGTATAAGCCAGGTACCAGTGGCTCGTGCCTTTAGTCCTAGCTACTCAGGGGGCTGAGGTCTGGTAGTCAAGGTTCCAAGTCAGCCCAGGCAAGAAAAGTCTGGGACACTGTAATCTACAGCTAACCAGCAAAAAGCTGGAAGTGGAGCCATGGTTCAAGTGGTAGAGCACTAGCCTTGAGCAAAAGACACTCCTGGGTAGCATCCGGATGCTAAGTTCAAGCCTCAGGATGGCTTGAGCCATAGTTTACAGACAGTTAAAAGTTCACAGTTTTCATATAGTTCTATGAATTTGTGAAGTGTGCATGATGGCTTGAAACCACTGTTACAAATCAGGCTATAGACATAGCCCCATTCCTCAGGTTTCTCTTGCTTCTTTGTAGTGAGCCCTATCTTCAGCCCTACTGCTTTCTCACCTAACCTCCAGCCCTGTGTTTTTTCCTTTTCCAGAATGTTCTGTCAGTGAGTGATTCGTATGTGCGTGGTGTGCATTGGGTTGCCACTTGGCTTCTTGGGCTGGAATTCACCCGAGCTGTTGGGTGGTTCAGTAGCTCCTTTTCTTCAGTTGCTGTCTGTGCTCTGCTGTGAGCTCCACCATAGTCTTATTTGTTCATCAGTTTCAGGTCAGTATTAATACTTTGACATATCTTTGTGGATTGTTATTGATAAGTATACGTATATGTGTATATATGTATGTGTGTGTGTGTATTTTATTTGGTGGTACTGGAATTTGAATTCAGGGCCTCATGTTTGCTGGGCCCTACCTGATAAACTGTTCTTCCAGCCCTTCTTTACTTTAGTTATTTTTCATGTAGGCTCTTGCCGAATGGTCTCTTGAATATACAACACCACGACCAGCTTATATGAGAGTGTGTGTGTGCATGCACACACAACAGATACACATGAGCATGCTGGAACTGGGACGTGAACTCAGGGCCTAGAGCTCTGGCTTCTTTTTTTCCACTCAAGGCTGGTATTCTACCACTTCAGCTTTTTGTTGATTAATTGGAGATAAGAGTCTCATGGACTTTCCTGCCTGGGATGGCTTTGAAGTGTGATCCTCAGATCTCAGCCTCCTGAGTAGCTAGAATATAGATGTGGGCCACTGGTGCCTGTCTTGAAAAACAAGTTATTATTACTTTTGTGCATTTTAGTTATAGTTTTGTATAGTTACCACCGAAGTGGTAACTATATTGACTTCTTCACAGGGGACTGTAGTCTCTTAATGGGAACACTGTCAGTTTTCTTTCCAGCTTGAGCCAACAGTTTTATTTCTTTCTTCTTCTCTGGTCTGCCCTTGGGGAGCAGCTTACACTTACACAGTTGGGCAGGTATTTGGCATCCAAGTCCTTGGTGAATTTTGGGAAGGACTTTCAGCTGCTTATACAGAAGAGCCTTTTGGCACTGCAGCGGACACAGTGGGGCCATTTACAGAGTGAATGAGGTTCTGTTGGGCTGGCTGTCCTGTATAGTACCAAATGCTTAGGCCTTTCTCAAATGGGATTTACTATCTTCTTGACCTCCTGCTTCATGGCAGCTAGGGTTGGAGAGTTAGAACATCTTCCCTTGACATTCTTTTTAGTTGGCATGTTGAGTATCTGGAGAGAAGAGGAAGGAAGGAAGTTGTAGGTAATAATTAATAGGCCTTCGTACATTATCTGAGAAGAGTTAATAATAGGTGATCTTGTTTGAATCCGTGTGAACATATACTCTATGACTCTTCAGTGCCTTTCAATGGTAATCATATTAGTGATAATTGTATCTGCCTTCCAGTAGGTTGACTTTAATTTTGATTTTCTAGGAGAACAAATACTTTGGATTAAAAAAGAGAGGTGACAATGCACCATGGAAATGGCCCTCAGCATGTCCAGCATCAGCTGCAGAGGTCTAGGTCCTCCACTGGCAGCGAAGAAGAGCAGCCAGCTCACCCAAACCTACCTCCATCCCCTGCAGCACCCTTCGCTCCATCTGCCAGTCCGTCTGCACCCCAGTCCCCTGGCTACCAGATCCAGCAGCTGATGAGCAGGAGCCCTGTGGCTGGGCAGAGTGTGAACATCACCCTGCAGAACGTCGGTCCCATCGTGGGAGGGAACCAGCAGATCACACTGGCCCCCCTTCCACTGCCCAACCCTACCTCTCCAGGGTTCCAGTTCAGTGCACAGCAGAGGCGGTTTGAGCATGGCTCTCCATCCTACATTCAAGTTACTTCCCCTCTGTCCCAGCAGGTCCAGACACAAAGCCCTACGCAGGCTAGCCCTGGGCCAGGACAGGCCTTGCAGAGTGTGCGAGCAGGTGCTCCAACCCCTGGGCTTGGCATTTGCAGCAATAGCCCCACTGGAGGCTTTGTGGATGCCAGTGTTCTTGTGAGGCAGATCAGCTTGAGCCCATCCAGCGGTGGGCACTTTGTGTTTCAGGAGGCACCAGGCCTCACCCAGATGGCTCAGGGAGCACAGGTTCAGCTCCAGCATGCAGGAGCTCCTGTCACAGTTCCAGAACGGCGACTATCCCAGCCTCATACACAGTCTGGAGGTACCATTCACCATCTGGGGCCCCAGAGCCCTGCAGCTGCAGGAGGGGCTGGTCTGCAGCCTCTGGCCAGCCCAAGTCATATCACCACAGCAAGCCTGCCACCTCAGATCAGCAGCCTCATCCAGGGCCAGTTGATCCAGCAGCAGCAGGTGCTCCAGGGGCAACCTCTCAGCAGACCTCTGAGCTTCGAGAGGACACCTGGTATGCTGCTCCCTGGGGTTGGGAGCACCTCAGCATTTGGTATGACGTCCCCACCACCACCAACCAGCCCGTCCAGGACTGCCATGCCCCCAGGCCTTTCTAGTCTGCCCCTCACATCTGCAGGGAGTGCAGGGGTGAAAAAGGCCCCCAAGAAGTTGGAGGAGATCCCTCCAGCCTCCCAGGAGCTGGCGCAGATGAGGAAGCAATGCCTGGACCACCACCACAAGGAGATGGAGGCGCTCCGAGAGGTCTTCCAAGAGTGTCTGATTGAGCTGTTCTTCCTGCAGCACCTTCAGGGCAACATGATGGACTTCCTAGCCTTCAAGAAGAAGCACTATGCTCCACTGCAAGCATACCTTAGGCAGAATGATTTGGACATTGAAGAAGAGGAGGAGGAGGAAGAGGAGGAGGAAGAAAAATCTGAAGTTATCAACGATGAGGTAAGAAACAGCTTAGTAATCTATGGGGCCTATGTGACACTGGTTAGATATATACAACAAAGTAATGAGCTTGGGTTATTGCAAAGCCTTTGGTTCTATAAGGATCTGATGGAGGGGTAAAGTTCAGAAGAGTGCATTTCTTTATTCCTTCACGGAGAGGAAGCACCACTTCACTGCATCTGCATCAGGAGGAATGTGCAGGATGGTCCTGTGATTAGTAACACTTTCTTGGTGCTGGGTGTGGTCACCGAGACCCAGGACCTCTTGGGCAGAGAGCTCAGCCTCCATGGTTCATGTTTCTCCTTCTGTTTGGGTGTAGTCCTTGGCTGACACCCAGGACAGCCTACAAGATTTGGGTAGAGGAGTGAAACTTGTTGCCTCTTGCCTGGTTTCCAGGTTTCATCTTGTGTAGGTCTGTACATAAAAATATCCACCAATGTGGCTTTTTAAAGGGGGTTTAAATGACCAGCCATAAATTATAAGTTACTACATGTGTTTGTATGTATCTTTATAATTAAAGTACAGGTATTGTGTCAAAAAACAAAATAACAAAAACAACACTGAATTTTTTCCCCAATTTTTAGATGTAGTTTTAGATTTGAGATCATGTTTTAAACTCACACTTTGCAGACCTATCTTGAATGAGATAGAATCTTTTGTAGACAGTTAATTTTTGGGTACCTAGAATGGGGCCCAGTAAATCCTACACCATTGTGGCTGCTAAGGATCTTGGATCTGTGCTTCCTGAGTACCAGGGCGATAGTGTGCTGTATTGTGATGCACTGTATTTTGTGCCTTTGTGTTGTGTAGTGTATACTATGTTGGTGGAGCTTATTTTGTTCTATGATACAAAATATTTTAAACCTTTGTCAGCCCTTCAGCAAAAATACCAGCTTTTGGTGAGCAAAAGCTTGTCTCTTTGCTCCTCACTGACATCTCTGGATGTATTTGTGTGGCTTTGCCATCTGTGTTTTCTTTTTTTCAGAAGATCTTATGTTTTTCAGAAGGTCTATATGATTATTTCAAGGACCTTACCTACTAGTGCTATAAAACAGTGAAATTTAGTTTTTTTTTTATGTTTGTATACTGATGTTGCCTGTAAGCTCAGTCACCTTATATGTATTTGTGATGAAGCAAATCTCCCCAAGTGTCTGCTGAAGTAGACCTTTGCTCTGTGACCCCCACATAGTACATACACAATGTAGTATTGTGGTGCAGATGGCCCAAGGAACTATAAGCTGCTGTAACTTGAGTCTGTCTGCTATTCCCACCTTAAAACCTGAGGTTGCAGAATCGGGTGCTGCCTGTGACCAAACAGGAGCCCCTGAGCACTGGCATTTGTTAGGTTTTATGCAATGAAGATGTCAGTTCAGAGTGCAGAAATAATCCATTTTAAACACCCAAGTTAGCGAACTGTCAGCAATGAAATTCTAACAAAATTTTGAGCAGTTTTAAAAATTATGTTGCCTTTTTTTCTCAAAATATTTCTCTCAGGTAAAGGTTGTGACAGGCAAGGATGGGCAGACTGGGACTCCCGTTGCTATAGCAACCCAGCTTCCGCCAAATGTTTCTGCTGCTTTTTCATCTCAGCAGCAACCATTTCAGGTACTTTTTGATGGTTCTAAATTGTAGTCTCATCCCAAACGTTCCTTCATCCAGATATTTTAACCTTCGATTTACTATTTGCTCTTCAGCATTTTTTTTTCCAGAGCCCATTCCTTGTTTTTAAAAAGTAAAAAGTCTTCCTGCATATATAGTTATGAAATTAAATTGCATGAGTGAATGACAACACAGACTTTATTACTGCATTGTTTTTTTGTGTGTGTGTACCTGCAATGTGGTAGTAGCTTTTAGTGTGCATGACATCTAATATTTAAAGTCCTCTTTATTGTATGCTCAGGATTCTTTGTGTGTTGTGTTTTAATGTTTGTTCTTTTTTTTTTTCTCTTGTGTCTTTCACTTGTATTTTGAGAACAGTGCAAAACAGAACAAGGAAAAAAAAAGACTTAAGCAGATGATAATTTGGTGTTTTTTAGCTGGAGGAAATACTGATGTGAATGCCTCCTGAGATCATCAGGACTGCAGGCTGCTGAGGGAAGGAAATGAGAATGCCAGGATTTTAAAACACATTCCAAAGTCTAGGAGCTGTGAACTAGATTGTGTTGAGTTCTGAAAGCATCTTCATCTTTGATATTTTTGGTTGTAATTTTTGTTTGATGTAATTTCAAGCACATAAAAATTGTAATCATATGAAACTTTTCTCTTATGCCCTTTTCCTAAATTTACCAGTTTCTGTTTTTTTTTGTCCCATTTGCATTATCTTCATTCTCTCATCCAAGTATATAACATCATATTATACTCCTTTAAGTAGTTCAACACTAGTAGATAAGGATGTTCTTTTACCTAGCCACAGTACAATGCCTAAAATCAGGAAACTTAAATAATTCAATACTCTTCTATGATGGGCTAGAGATTTCATCTCTTGTCCTGAAGGTGTCCTTTATGTTTTTTTCCCCAACCCAGTATCTCCCATAGTTACTGTATCTCCTTAGTTACTGTGTCCCTCTACCCTTCTTTAATCTGGGCCAGTTTTCCAGTTTGTAACCTTGATGGTTTTGAGGAGTACAAGTCAGTTATTTTGTAGAATGTCCTGTGATGCAAGATTGTCTGATGTTTCCTTATGTCACATTCGGGTCTTGTGTTTTTTAGAGAAATGCTATAGCAGTTACTGTGTCCTATGAGTAGGGCTGTTAATTTTGAGCACTGATTAATTATGGTGGTATCTACCAGCATCCTTCAGTGAACAGTTACTCCTTTTTTCCTTTTGTAATAATGAAAAACTGGGAAAGGTACTTTGAGATTATGTAAATATCTTATGTCTCATTAAACATTTACTCACTAATTCTAGCATCAGTTGATGAGTTGTGTCTGAGTCAGTTATTCTGTAAAGATTCCTAAGTAGATTTTCTGCCACCATCATTCTTTCTGCATCTGCCTACCTACCTAATTATTCTGTGCTGGAAGTAGGCCTTGATAGATTTTTTGACACTTGAGCCATTCCTCCACATCTGGCTTTTTGCTGGTTAATTGGAGATAAGAGTTTTGAGTTTGCTTGGGCTGGCTTTGAACCAGGATTCTCAGATCTCAGTCTCCTGAGTAGTTACATTTTATAGTTGTGAGCCTCCAGTGCCTGGCACCTTCAATATTTACTCATTGATGTCTTCTGTCAGGAGAGACTTTCCTCTTCCTCAATTGTGACATTCAGTTATATATAGTAAACTCAATCAGTAGTTTATAAAATGTCGCTCTCAGTATTGTTTAAGTTTTTATTTGGAAAAATTCACTTTAGGTTCACTGGTTCACTTATATTTTCTATGAGTTTTGACAAATGTGTGGAGTTGTGTAGCTCTGCCATAGTCAAGAAGAAGAATTGATTATGTTAATCCTAAACTGTACCTTTACTTGCCCCTTTGTATTAAGACCTCCTCCTCCCTTGTTCCATGCTCTCCAGGACAGTATTATGTCTTGTCCAGATGAGGCATAGATGGAATCATTCACAGCGGTCTTTGCGGTCCAGCCTTTATACTCAGCGTAATTCATTTGCCCATTTGTTCTTGTTAGAAATGGCATTCCCCTTATATAAATGTACCAAGTTTATCCTTTCACTCCTTGAAGCATAGTTGGATTGTTTTCATTTTAGGGATCCCTGAATAAACTTGCTATAATTGTTTACTTACAGATTTTTAAATTATTTTTGTGTGTGTGAACGTGGACATTCATTTGAGTAAATTGAAGTCAGGTTGTTGGATTGTCTGTTAATTTTAAGTACATAGTAATCTTTATGTGTATCTCTAAGACTGAGGTTGGATGATTTTTCCTTTGTTCTTCAGTTGTTTTGTATGTCTTTGTTGGTGACATCTGTTTATATCTCACCCATTTTTTTCATTGAATTGTTTTGTTCATGGTTACATTTGACAATTTATAGGATAGCAGGATTTTTGCTTTATATATATATGAGACTGGGTTTTGAACTTAGAGTTCTTAGTAGGCATGCACTGTTTACCACCTGAGCCATGTCTCCAAACTGGATATCAAGTTTTTTTTGTTAGATGTGCTTTTTTTTTTTTTTTTGGTCAGTCGTGTAGCCTGAACTCTGGGCCTGGGTGCTGTCCCTGAGCTTTTCAGCTCAAGGCTAGCACTCTACCACTTGAGCCACAGCACCACTTCCTGTTTTCTGGTGGTTTATTGGAGATAAGAGTCTCATGGACTTTTTCTGCCTGGGCTGGCTTTGAATCTCCATCCTCAGAGCTCAGCCTCCTGAGTAGCAAGGATTACAGGCATGAGCCATTGGTGCCGGACTTGGTGTGCTTTTTTTTTTTTTTTTGTCGGTAGTGGGGCTTGAACTCTGGGCCTGGGCACTGTCCCTCAGCTCTTCAGCTCAAGGCGAGCGCTCTACCACTTGAGCTATAGCGCCACTTCCTGTTTTCTGGTGGTTTATTGGAGATAGGAGTCTCACGGTCTCTCCTGCCCGGGCTGGCTTTGAACCGCGATCCTCAGATCTCAGCCTCCTGAGTAGCTAGGATTACAGGCGTGAGCCACCAGCGCCCGGCTTGGTGTGCTTTTTACAGTTTCTTTTTGTGTGTGTGTGCCAGTCCGAGGGCTTGAACTCAGGGATCGGGTGCTGTCTTGTAGCAGTTTTGCTCAAGGGTAATGCTTTACCACTTGAGCCACAGCCTCCACTTTGGGCTTTTTGGTGGTTAAAGGAATAAGGGGGGCTGGGAAGGTGGCTCACTGGTAGAGCGCTTGCCTTGCATGCATGAGGCCCTGGGTTTGATTCCTCAGCACCACATAAGCAAAAAGAAAAAAGCCGGAAGTGGCACTGTGGCTCAAGTGGTAGAGCACTAGCCTTGAGCTGAAGAACTGAGGGGCAGAGCCCAGGCCCAGAGTTCAGGCCCCATGACCTGAACCCCCCCCCCAAAAAAGAAAGGTCTCACTAAGAA